CTCACGGCAAATCCGACTTTATTGTAGTTACCTTGACAGAATCTCTCCCCCCCCCTCTGAAAGAGGAAGTCGCTCACTGTCTCCTTAACAATCTGAGAAACTCGGGGGTTCCTCCTGGGCCCCTCCCACTCCCCAGATGCACCCTCTCTTATCTGGCCAGCTCCTTGGCAGCGGCTCTTGCCCATCTCTCAAGGCCTTTCCCACATGCATTATATTTTCTTATCTCGGTGCAACCAGAGAAGCATTGGGGAGAAGATCCAGGAGAGAGATCCATCCAACAAAGGGATCTGGGGTTGCTGGGTCACCAACCAGCAAAATGGGACCCCAATTTTGCTTGACTTGCCAGGGGTCCAGAGCTCAGCCCACGGACTCTGCCAAGCCCTCGCTCCCTGCCTTTGCAGCTTTTGTGGGGACATTAACAGGAACGCCTCCCCAGTTCAGATTTCCCACTCCCTTCTTCCTCACAGCAGCCCTGTCAGGTAGGCTGGGGGGGGGGAGAGAACTAGGCCAAGATCTCAGCTTCAGAGCATGGCGGGGGGATATTGGAAGCCAGGCCTTCTCAGCGGAAATCCACTGCTCTAACCGCTCCACCCTACAGTCAAGAATCCGCAGGTGTCTACCAGATTTCACAAGAAGCATCTTGGAGGCGAAATCAGAGTCCCTGAAGGCAGGGTGTGTGCGCATGTGTGTGCACGCGCACAGTGTGTACTTCCAGACACTTCAGTCTAAAAGGAATCTAAGGAAGACACAGAGTAGCAGACGCCACAGAGAAACAAAGCAGCAGCTCTTTGATCTCCTGGCCTTGACAGCCTGTTGGAGGAGCCAAAATTTAATTTGATCCAGGCTTCTGCCTCAGCACCTTCTGGAGCCAAGGACCTGCTTTCGTAAGCAACACTGGGGGCTTCCGGTGGCCCCAGCTGGACGAAACTACAGCTCCCAAAATCCCCAGCCAGCCTGGTCCTAAAAATCAGAAGGGCCCAAGGTGGGGAAGAGTCTGCCCATTTTTAAATCTCTTGATATTTTCGACCGCTTCGTACAGACATCCCTTCCGCGGTTTAAGATAGATCGAGGAGGGCAGGTTGGAGAGACACCCCAAAGAGCAAGGGGTTGCCTTCCCCCATGAAGTACTCTGGCTCCTCTTCCCCTGCTGCGGGATCCACTCCCCAGCCAAGACCCCTCCCTATAAAGGCCAGGGCCTCGTGGGAGAGAGGCCGCCAAAAACAGCCTCTGCTCTGCTCCAGCAACTGTCCTCAGAACGCTTCTGTGTCACAAAGGAGGAAAAGAAGAAAAAATGCTGCTTTATTTGCCCAACTGCACATGTTCACACTTAATGCCCTGACCCCATTCACACCTACTCAGGAGTCCAATGAGAATTTATCCATGGCTGCCCTCTATTAGCGTTCCTCAACTCCTTCATCCTGCACAGATGTTGGACTACAACATCCATCACACCTTCCCCAATCTGGACCTTACATTTCAGAGAATATCCTTTTTTTCCTTCTAGGTGGATTAAAAAAAAAACCTTGGATCTTTATGGTGCAAGACCATCAATCAGCAAACTGCTAAAAAGCCAGTCTAATTAAAAGAAAAACCACATGTGGCAACTTAAGTCAACAGTCAATGCGCCTCTGTAATTGTGTGCAGCATTTATGATTAATCATGTGCATGTTACCCAAACAGTCCAGAGGAACCCAGCTTCCTGGTTCAGAGTGTGAGAGGGAAAGCAACTCCAGCCGACTCCCTTCTTATTCACAGGAGAGACTTTCAAAACAAGAAAGAAAGTGGTGGGAAGCGGCCCCTCCCCTGGTCTTCCCATTACTCTTTCTTTCCTTCAGTTCAATTGTTCCAGGCACAACTCTCGCTGGTGGGCAGGGCAAACTAGCCCAACACCCTGGAAAAGAGAGGAGGGGTGCCAGATGGAGCTGTAACAAAAGGGAAAAACTTTTCACAACAAGTGCTCTCGCTGCTGTCACACGTTTCTCCATTATTACCAAAAGCAACACACACACACAATACACATTGCAGGGGATCAGCCCACAACGCTTGAAATGAAGGCTGTAGCAGAAGTCGGAAAGGGAAAAAAGCAGAAAGGGTCCCTTGGAGCTGAGCTGCCTCTATTTTACGGAGCAGATGCCTAGCGGAGACCTCTGGGAGAAGAAGGGAGTTTCCTGGTCAGAAAGGAGAGACAAGGAGAAGCATTCTCAAGCCAGCTGAAATCCCCGAGTGGCACTCGAGTGCAGATCAGGATTAAAAGGGATGTAAGAAAACAGCCAATAGGGGATCCAGGCAAGAGCAGAGAGACAGAAAACAGCAAAGACGCATTCAGTTGGAAGAGAGGGTAGGATGAGCCTGAGATTGCCCTCAGAATATGCTTCCATCTCACCTGGCTGTAAGAAAAGGAGCACATTTTGAATGTAGGCTGTTCTGCTTGCATGCAATACCATCTGTGACCACAAGGGCTTTCTAACTGGGAGCCTTTCCTGCTAGGTTTCCCCCCCCCCCAAACTTTTACTACAGGGCCCCTCATCCCCAGTCTGAGCTGCCAAACATGGGCTACTTGAACCTCTGGTGGGATAGTTTGCCCAAAAGTTATCATTCCTTCCTTAAAGGAACATTTCAATTGCACACTTGCAAAAACACAGATATAAAATTCTCGGGTTTGGGTGCAAGAGATCCTTCTCTTCCAAGATGTCTGCAGAAGGACAGTTCACGGGAGCCAAGCAGATTTCAAGTTGAAGAGCACTTTAGAAAATGTGTTATTGCTGAAAAACAGGTTTCTTGGTGAGAAGCAAAGCACCACCATTTGCAAAGAACTTGGGGTTCGTGGGGAGAAGGAAGTACTGGCCAGTCTTTTTTTTTCCCAATATGTAAGCATGCAACCATTTTTCAACAGGCAGGATTAAAAATGCCTTGCGCAGCCAGAATACGTGGAATGCCCACCAGGGCTGAGGCAAATCAGTAGCACACCTGGAGAAACCCAAGCCATTCACCACTGGAGAACTCCAAAGACGTTCCCGCTTGAACAACCTGGAGGGACACGGCCCCCCTCCCTTCTTCCTGCTGTTGCTGCTGTATAAACTGGCAGCTGTGCCTTCACAACAGTCCAAGAATGGCAGGGATATACGTGTTGGTTAAATATTTGTGTAAACAGGCTGGCTGCACACGGATTTTCAAACACAGGCCGCCTAGTATGTATGGGGGGGGGGAGGGAGAAAGAGAGGGGAAAAAAGTCCCTTTGGATGGACTCGTTCATTGCCCTTAGACCTGGGAGGAGAAGCCAGGAAAATTAAGGCAGACATGGGGGTGGGGAGGGGGCTGTAGTAAAGCCAAGCCTTCCAATAGGACAGGTTGTTCCCAATCAGAATAATCCTCAAATGGAGTCAGAGGCAGACTAAGAAACTTGCATCATCTTGTTTCACAACAGATTTCAGCAAAAGACGCTTTTGGGATACTCAGGTTCACATACCTGAGTGTGTGTACGTGCATGTGCCAGTTTTAAGACAGATGTAAGGAAAAGGGATCATCACACAAACAACATAAGCTCACGAGCCGTCTCCCAAGGCTGTACACCCCACTAACTCCGGTGCAACCCCAGTGAGGGAGAGCAGAAGTGCCTGTGAAAAACTGGTTGCACCCGCTGGGCCGGTTATGACTAAACAGGAAAGAGTTCACCTCCTCATCCCTGGGGAATTCACTTCTAGCCTAGAACAATGTCCTGGGAAATAGTAGCTCAGACTTCTAGAAATTCCCTGGAATTGCCGATAGTGCCAGAGGATGGGGCTGTATTTGGGGGCACCTGGACTCCCAGGAATTTCCAGTTCTTCTTCCAGTATTCTTTGAGGGGGGAGCTCTTGCTCCATGCAAAATCTCACACACAATCTATCACCCCTCCCTCTGCGGCTCTCCTCTTCCCTGTCAGCTCACAAGAGTCACTGTTCACACGTTTCCTTTCCATCCAGCCTCTGGTCATCAGAATTAATAATCTGTGTGCTGACCCTTCCATTTCACTACCACAGCAGGCATCTGAAGGGAGGTTTATGATCCCAGCCATTCGGTTTCATTCCTGAGGGCCCCCAGAATGGGACTTTGCTTTTTGCAACCTGCAAAATCCATTTTCTGTGAGTCTCCACTAATTCAGTTCCTTCAACAAGCAAGTCACCCTAATATAGGAAGTATGAAGCTTTCAAGATGTTTCCCCACTATGTGAGCACACCTAATTGCTACCTTCATACAACACACCTACCTACCCAGCCAATTACTTTCATCCCAGGAGCTGCTGGGCTGACCGGCAAAACTTTTGTCCTGACTTTTTTGGGCAGTTCCAGCAGACTGGCTGGCTGGCTGAGGCTGCTTCAGCACAACCACAGCGACCGGGAGCCAGACTGTTCCTAACCACCCACCCTCTCCCACCAGGTGATTCCGACCTGGGCGCCGGCAACATTCCTCCCGGGTTTGTTTAACAGGCTGGAAGGGCTCCAGCAGCCCGAGCTGGAAGAGCCTCCGGATGACAACTCTCCTTCTCCCGCAGCCGCCTCCGCTGGCACAGCCAGACACGGGGCGTGCGTGCCATACAAATCCTCCCCCGGAGAAGCGCAACTGCCCAGCCGCTCCGCGAGCAGGGCCAAGGAGAACCTGCCACGGCGGCTTTTATCGAAGTCCGGCCAGACCTGCCCCGGGACGCCCGCTCCACCGGGAAGTTCGCAGCCCTTTCTCTCGGCTGGGGGGTTGCGCCGCCCCATTTCACGGGGCATAGCCAGCCTCCAGCGCTTACATGGAAGCTAACCGCTGCTGCGGGCTCGCGGGGGGGGGTGTCTTAAAGGTCATTTAGTCCAGCCCTCCCCGAGACAGACCGTCCGCAGCGTCTTTTCACCCCCTCCCGCTCCTTCAGGCAGGAAGCAGCCTCGCGGCCAGAGTGCGACGGGGCGCGACCGGCACCGGCTGCCCAAGCGCCGAAAGAGGCGGGCGATGCCCCCCGCCCGGCCCGGGAAGGCCCCGCTTACCGGCCAGCAGCGAGAGCGGCAGCAGCAGCCAGTAGAGGACGCCGCACAGGACCCGCAGCTCCATCGCGGCGCGGCTTCATGCGCAGGGTCGGCGGGCGGGCGTCGGCATAGTCCCGGCTCGGTGCTCCGAGTCCCGAAGTGGCGCCTGGTTGGGCGCAGTGCGGCGGCGGCGGCGGCAGCTCCGTCGGCTTCGCGCCCCACCCGAGCCCAGCCGCCTCTCTCGCCCTCGGCCCGCGGGAGCTCAGCCCGTCCCCGGGGGAGGAGCGGGGGGCGGTCTCGGCTCTGCCCCGCAGTGAGCGCAGCCGGACCCAGCCGCTGCCTGCCTTCCGCGCAGCGAAGCCTCGCTCGGCCGCCGCCGTCCCGGCTCTCTCTGGCCGCGCACGTGCCAGGTCAGACCCGCCCGGCCGGAGCTGCCGCCGCCGCCGCCGCCCCCCCGCCGGGGCCGCCCCCTCCCCTCCCTCCCTCCCTCCCTCGGCGCTATTCCCCGGGCGGCAGCACCACCTAGTGCCCGCTGAGACGCCCTCTCCAGCCCGACACGTCGGAACCAGGCGGGGAAACCCTCCAAAGCCCTGACCCGCGTTGCGGCGGCTGCTTAGCATGGAATCAGGCGGAGACCGGGCTCTCACCCTCGAGCCTCGGGGGCTGCTTCCCCCCCTCCGCACCCGAAGGTGCCCCCTATATTACTCTAAAGGCCAGATCCTCCTCCCGGCCATGTCCTAATACCTGGTTTTCCCACCTGAGCTCCGCGGTAGAGGGAGCATCTGCTTTCGCCCTCTCGCAACCCCCTGCCTAATTTCCCACGTGCGAGCTCAGCACGTGTGTTAAGGCGAAAGGAGTTCGTTCATCCGCATCAGCAGTCCTGAAAAGCTCCCATTGCTGTTCTTTGTGACCTGGAAAGGGGTGCTTTTCAGCCGGCCCTTTCCTGGAGGTTCCCTCGGGCTCAGCTTCCAGACCGTCTTAGGAGCCCCCGTTGTGTCGCCCAAAAGCGGCCAGCAGCACCTCAGCTGGGGGCAAAGACCCCCTTTCTTTGCGCGATTTCCTCGAGGTTGGGAAAAAACCCCTCCTGCATGCCCTGCGTGGGGAGCCGCCTCCCCCGCTATCTTAACGCCTGCAGATGAACCCCCCCCCCCGTCAGTCTGGCCTTACCTGGACTCCAGGCCGGCCTTCTCGCTCCCAGCCGCAGAAGCTCCGGAGGCCCCACAGCGCTACCCCGCCTCAGCCGGGATCCTGCTGGGTCGCTCCAGGGACGGGGGCAGCAGCCATCCCCGCCTGCCCCAGGGTGACTAGCGAGCGGCGCCGAGGCCTCCTCGGAAATAAGTCCTGGAGCGGAATTTCCTGACGCGTGTTCAGAGGCTCTTCTGCAAAGGCCTCCAGAATGATACACGGGTTAAAATTCCGAACTGAACCCAAAACTAACAGACCAGGTCCTTCGTGTGAACCAGGCCTGAGGCAGGCTACTTGGGAAGAGCAGTTACTGTACGGGAGGGCCAGAAAAGTTTCCAATCGGCTCCTTCCAGGGCTGAGGGCCCGGGGAGGGCGCCCCTTGGCTCCAGAGACCTGACCCGGGTGCGCTGGCTCGGGCTAGGACCGTCTGAACCCGGCCTCCTTCTTGAACCAGACAAACAAGTTGCAGAAAGCCAGGCAAGGCGAAGGCGAAGGCGCTGAGGCGACTTCCCACGTTGCCCCGAGCCCGAATGTGAGCGGTGGTCCCTTGGCAGCGGCTGCAACCGTCGCCTGAGCTTCCCCCCACCACGGGGGTGCCCAGAAGCGAGCAGCGCATCCGGAGGCTCCCGGGGGGGGGGGCGGGCGCAGGGTCTGGAAGGGGCGGGGCGGGGCAGCGAGGCGGCGGCGCCTTTAAGAGCGCCGCGCGGGAAAAGGGGAGGCGGGGCTTAGGCGGCCCGCGAAAGTGGCTACATTGTAGCGCCGGGCGAGCGAGCGAGCGATCGGCGGGCGGGCGAGATGGCGCAGCTCCGCCTGACCCGCTTCTTCCCGCTGAGCAAGGCCGGCCCGGGGGGGCCGCGGGGCGCCAAGCGGCGTAAAGGGGGACCCGGGGCGGCGGGGCAGCCGGGCGGCGACGGGGCCGGCCCTGAGCAGGAGCCGCAGCTGGCTCCGCCGGGGACCCCGCTCGGCTTCGGACCCCCGCCGGCCGGGCCGCGCAGCAGGAAGAGGCGCCGGTCGGAGCCCGAGCTGGAAGCGGAGCCGGGCCCCGTCGCGCCGCATCGTTGCCCACCCAGAGGGGGGGCCAGGAAGAGGCTCCTGATGCCGGAGGAGGAGGAGGAGGAGAGGGCGGTGAGTGCCCCCCCGGAGCCTCTTATTCCGGGGTCCCTTGATCCGGATTGACGGCCTGCCGCCTCGCTGCGAGTTCAGAACCGGCTGCCGGAATCCGAGCCGCGGTCTGGGCTGGACCCTGCCCGGATGGGGCTGCCCCGAGGCGCGCTGTGGACGCAGCCATTTTGAGCCCGGTTCTACTGGGGCGCGGGGGGGGTCTCCACATGTTGCGCTGGTGCTGCTCCGCAGCTGCTTCCAACAAAGGCCTCTGCCCCGGGCTAGTGCTCGGTTGCGTGAACGGAAACAGTCCCCCCCCCCCATCCTGCCAATCTGCCCAACTTTTCCAGGCTGCCTGCTGCAAGCCCACTGAGAGAGCGGCATAATGTTTATTTATTACATTTTTTATGCCGCCTGTCTCCCCTACAAAAGGACTCTGGGCGGCTGCCTCCCCTTCTCTGCTTCGCCCCATCTCAGCTAAAGGCATCGGCCAGATTTGCTTGGCTGCCAGGACTCTGTGGCACGTAGGGAGGGGGTGAAACCCGAGGGCTGACTGGTTGGGGGTCCGAATGTCTGCTTCTGTTTCAGGTCTCTGCTTGCCCCCCGTGCCCTGCAGCTCTGGGGCCTCCCAGCCCCTCCGCCCTGGATAAGGAAGCAAAGGAGTTGGTGAATGAGATTCTCTCGCCTGGCTTGAAGTTGGGGGGAACCTCAGTGGCTGCGGCCAGTCCGGAGGAGAAGGTGAGTCTTAGATAGCAGGTCTGGCTGGGGAATTCTGGGAGTTGAAGTCCACAGGTCTTAAAGTTGCCAAAGTTGGACACCAGCATTATAGGATAGACCTGAGCTAAACGTCATCAGTGCCAATCCTGCTCACCATACTTTCCCCATCTCTGTGTCCTGGCCAGCCTCCCTCCCTCCTCCCCCCACCTCCTAATGCAGTTTCACACCTTGCCTCAAGGCAGGGGTTCCGCAAGGGGGTGGGGGCACTGCTTCATTGCACACTCCCAGCCCAGCAAAAAGGGAGGAGGAGGCAGCCGCCTTGATGAGATCTCCACCTTCTGGGCAGGATGCATCCCAAAAGCAGCTCCTGGAGCTGAGGGGCCGTCTGGGCAAGATCCATAGCCTGGTACAGAAGATCAAGGGGGGAGCCGCCAATCTGGAATCTGGTGGCGACCTAAAGAGCCGACTGGAACGGGCCCGGTTGCTGGAATCCAAGATCCGCCAGGGGAAGCTCTCCTCGAAGGAGGAAAGAAAGGATCTAGAATCCACAGCCGAGATCAGGTGGGGAAATTGCTCTGTCCATCCTGAATCAGAGCTGGGGAGGAGGCTAATCCTACCAATCGGAGGTGGGGCTGGGTCACTGGCACGACTGGATCACCTGAGAGCAGGTCTGATTCAGTTGGCCAGCGTGAGAAGCCCACCATGTGAAGCCTCTCTCCCCTCCTGGCTAGTGAGAAGGTGCCGGCCTACCAGCGCTTCCACACCCTCGCGCAAGACGTGCCCCCTGGTCTTCTCCTGCCGTACAAATACAAGGCTCTGGCTGAGATGTTCCGCAGCACGGACACCATCGTGGCGATGATGTTCAACCGCTCGGAAGCCGTCACCTTTGCCAAGGTCAAGCAAGGCGTGCAGGACATGATGCGCAAGTGAGTTCCCTTTCAGGTGCTGGATCGGATGGACTTCTGGGCACCCGTGCAAGCATGGCTTTAGACCAGGGGTAGGCAACCTTGGCTCTTTTATGACTCAACTCCCAGAATTCCTGAGCCAGCCATGCTGAGGGAAAAGGGAGAGGTTTCCAAGCTGAGCCATGCTGGCTCAGGAATTCTGGGAGTTGAAGTCCACGAGTCATAAAAGAGCCAAGGTTGCCTATCCCTGCTTTAGACCAAGGGTGTCCAACCGTGGCCATTTTAAGACTTGTGGACTTCCAACTCCCAGCAGGGCTGGCTGGGGAATTCCGGGAGATGAAATCCTCAAATCTTAAAGTGATGAAGGTTGGGCACCCGTGCTTTGGACCAAGGACCGGAGCTTTCCGTGGGGCTTATGTGAGGACACAGCTTCCCATCCATGCAGGGCTCGATCTGGGTTTGGTCGTGATCTTCCGAAAGCTGACATTGCCCACTACTCTGCTTCCTGTCTTGTAGACGCTTTGAAGAACAGCACTTGGGACAGATAAAAACGGTGTACCCGGGTTCTTACGTTCTGCGCCGAGAGAGAAACATCCCTGCCTTCGGTGGACCAGGCAAGCGAGGCACCTACCAGCTGACTGTCGAACCAGGGCTGGGAGCAGGTGGGTCTGGGCAGGAGGCCACCTGCATCACACGGAAGCCTCTGAAAACCAAGGGAATGTTGCCCTGCTTTACAAACCCAAGTTAAGCACGTTGTGTGAGCTCTATCTTGGTGTTTGTCTGCAGTGATTTCTGGGCTTCCAGCAAGAAAGGGTTTTTCCCCCCAGCTCCTGTTAGGAAATGAGGACCTGCTGATGTCTGTCTGGATGCCACCACCTTCCTTGCCTCCCTAAAGCGCGCGGGATTGGGGTGGGGGCTAAGTGTGGGGGATGGTCCTGAGCCTCTCCTCTTGTGTGTTGATTCCTCCTTTTACTCCCAGGGGAGAAGCTGACTGCTTCCCGGCTGATGGAACGCCGGAGCATCTTCTGCAAGAACTTGACCGCCATGGTCAAGGAGCACCACAAGGCAAGCACTTCTGGGCGGCAGCTTGGCACCCCTTCCTCCCCTTCCTGCAGGGCAGGAATGTGGCATTTCCCCTATCTTGAGACTTGTGCTTGGACCCCTGCTAGGCGTTCCTGGCTTCTCTGGACCCTCCAATGGTGATAGCGGAGGATGAGCTGACCCGCTGGCACCCTCGCTTCCGGGTAGACGAAGTGCCCGATGTTGTGCCCACTGAGCTGCCCCAGCCTCCCCACGTGGACAGGGTCACCACTGCGCAGGAGGTGCTGGCCAAGGCACAAGGCATGCTGACACCTAAGGTACAGCCTGTGGGGTGTAGGGGGGTTGGCAATCTTGCCCCAGATTGATCTACACACCACAAGCCTTTGCAAATAATTTGTAAAAAGAGCACCTGCATTTTGGGACTCCCCAAACAGATGGAAAAGGCATTAACCAACCTGGTCCTAAGGACGGCAGATACCAGCCCCTCCACCCCGCAGCTTCCTCGCCCAGCTGTGCCCGGAACCCCCAACAGCCTGAAAGGCGTCTCACAGTCCTTAGTAGAAAGGGTGAGTTTACCTACTGCTCCAGCTGTGGCTGCTGCCAGCGCAGGGCACTGCCAGCTTCCCAGGGTGCATCTTGACCTGTCTGAGGTCCAATACCTTCAACTAAGCTTGTATCTCTTGTGCCTCGGGGGTGGGAGGACGGGTCCTTTCTCAGCTCCCCCCAGTCTACCAGTAGAAGTTGCTGGCCATGGCCACATCTACTCTACAGGACAGGTTTTCCCAACCATGGCAACTTTTAAGGCCATGGTTGTCTGGGGAATTCTGGGAGTTGAAATCCAGAGGTCTTCAAAGTCACCAAGGTTGAGAAAACCTGCTAAAGAAGAAAACCAAAGCTGGGTACCTCCAAGCAGGAGACTTGCCTGGAGCCAGATGCCCACAGCTGGAATTCAAACAGCTGTACCAAAGCCCAAGACCGCCCCCTTACCCACCTCCTCTCCCCCCAGGTCAGGGCCAAGGAGGCTCAGAAGCTGCAGGCGCTGATGACACGGAGCCCCCAGCAGGAGCAGCGGCTGGCGATGCTGACCCGTCTGCCCGAGATGGCACGTATCCTGCGCAACATCTTTGTGGCAGAAAAGAAGCAGGCCCTCTCCATGGAGGCGGCATGCCAGCGGATGATGGACAGCTACCAAGCTCTCATGCCCATGGGTAAGGCAGGCGGGTGGGTGGCTCTGGGGCGGGGGAAGGGAGGAGGCTGCCCGCTAGTTGCTCAGTAACCACAAAGCTCAACCGCCTTTGGCAGCCCAGATGACTTGGCAACCCCAACAGGAAAACCAGTTCAGAGAGAGAGAGCCTGGGCTGAGAGGTCTGCCAACTAGTCCTCTCCCAAGTCTTAAGACTTGTGGACTTCAACTCCCAGAATTCCCCAGTCAACCGGCCACGTCTTTACATCCACAAATCCCAGCCATGTCATTCACAAGTCCTGAAAGTTGCCAACGTTGGACACCCCTGTGATAAACCATTCAAAGTTTGAGCTGATTGGTCCACCTAGGGCAGCTCTGCGTTGGATTTAGTGCGGAGGGGTTTCCAAAGATTCAGCTGGGGAAAAACAGGCGCAGATTTGATCGGCAAAAGAGCTGCTGTCCCGTGAACTGAGATTTCAGTCCTTCCCTGCTGCTTCTCCTGGAAGAGGGCCTAGAGCCCCTCCCCTTCCATCGGTGGCTCCCCGGGGGTTTGGGAAGACCCCTGCCCATGGAGGGCCCTGGTCACAAGTGATGGCCCTCTGACGTTGACCCCCTTTTCCCCCTGCAGGAGAGATGGAAAAGCACCTCCACCTCTTCGCAGAGCTCCTGCCGGATTGGCTGCGCATCCTTCCCATTCGCCAGGAGAGTTACCTGAAGCTGGACAAGGCCATGGACCTCAATATTGTAACCGAGAGGCTGACTGCAAGAAAGCGGAAAGAGGAGACACTCTGATTTTTTGGGGGGGGGGGAGACCCCCAGAAAATAGACTTCCTGGGGGGGGGAGTATACCCATTTTTCTTGTCTTTGTTCTAAGCAGAAGGATTTTCTCCAACGGAAAACTTGCAAGCTTTTTGGCAGAGCCACAACAGGAGGGTGGGCATTCTATGATTCAACAAACCACTTTTTTAAGGCACAAAACATTGTCTCTTGGGAAGTTTGGAAAAGATGTGGCTGCTTTTCCAGGAAGGGGGGGGAGGTTGGAATCCCACATCCTGTCCCTGAGTTGAGAGCAAAGAGGGACGATTTTTTTTCTTTTAAAGAAAGGCTTGTTCTGTCTTGAAAGGCGATTTGTATATGAAACTTGGCATTAAACTCCACTTACTTGAAGCTGGACAAGCACTTTTCTACCCCCTCCGCTCCCTGAGTGCAAGCAGAAGCCCAAGGCTGGCTCCCCATGCGTCTCTAAATCAGAGACAACCCCCCCCCCGGAGCAGTTCTGCTTTTAGCCCCCTTTGGCCCCAGAACAGCAGACTTGTGAGCCACAGGACCTTAAGGAGCCCCATCAGGGCAAGGTACAAGAGCACTGTGTCTTGAATAGCAAATAGTTTTACAGAAGTGTTTATTCGTTCCAGCAATTTCTATGGTAGCGAGATAAGGAGCCCTCTAGTCACAACAGGAAGACACACATCCTCACCTACCAAGTAATCCAAATTACATGAACGGACACGTTTAGCCTCTACTCTAGCTGGGCTGATGTGGGATTGAGAGTGAAGTCAAGGTCAAATAGTTTTGTGGTTGGGTTGCTCAAGACCCAGCAAACTGGCTTTCTGGAGGCCGTGGGCCCATCCTCTTTCCCTCTGGCAAGGAACACTAATGCATATGAGTGTTCGGAATCCTCAGGAACAGAGACCCACACGTGCCCCGGCTATAACCAGCAGGGCTCTGTTGCCAAAGTTCTTTGGCTGCACTTGATTCAGGTTTCGAATTGTATTTAAAGTACTCAGTGTGCCATGTTAAGGAACTACACCCAGCACTTTCCGGATTGCTCAAGGTTTGGCCAACGTGCAAGGAAGTGGCAGGACTCCTCCCCCGCAAAGTTCAGGACTCAGAAACAGGACGGAGGAGCCAGGCTGCAGGGGGAACTAACCCCCAATGCATCAGTGGTATTGCAATAGTGAGTAGAGGGGGAAGGGCTTCAGGGCCTCTACACCTTTGAGGAAGGACAGCTCAATGAGTACCAGGCAGTCCAAGATGTCGGCCTGGAGCTTTGTCATCAGCTCACAGGCGGCTCGCATGGTACCTGGGAGGGAAGGAGGGAGACGAGCCGTTAGGGGGACCAAGAGGACGGTGGAAAAATATTACGGTAAATTTAGGCCCTGCCTTTCCTTCAGGAATCCGAGGTCTCTCTGTTCCCAGTTGAGCACCTTTGCCACACCATCACCCTGGATGCCAACAACGATGGCCATGTGGCGTATGGATTAGATGCCACCCTTCTCTACCAGTTGTGGAGGTGGGACTTGAAGGATCCTGCCCCACTTGTGGGATTGATGGGGAACAGAAGGCCTCTCATCTGATCCTTTGCAGTGCTTAAGCACTGGAAACAATACCTTGCTAAGACCAACCTCTTTTTTTTGCTATAGAAATGAACTTTAAAAAGGAGGCAGTAATTGGCATGCAAACCCGCAGCCTGAATTCACCCCACCCCCTCCTCCTTCCTTTACAATTGAGTTCACTTGCGCACTCCTGGGAAATCCCCGTATTTCCCCCTAAGGCTCCCTCCGGCCTCACCACATGGCACAAAATGTTCTACAGCAGCAGAAGTTGCCAATTGTCTTGCAACAGAATTCAAAAGTTGCAAGAGTTGTCCTGGTGTTGCAAGGACAAAGCGCAAAGTGATAGAGAAAGCTCACTTTTGGCAAATAAGCGCATCAGTTTTTACAAAGGGGAGTTCTTATTAAGGGAGATGGTAAAATAGGATTTAAATGAAGGGAGGGGTGGGTGGGGGGGAGGAGATGGGAGGAGCCCACTCTGGAAGAAACCCCCACTGGACATGTTCTGAGCTGCACCAATAAAATATAGTTAATTCTCAACTTGGGACCAGAATTTGTTGCCAAGCAAGATGGTGGTGAAGTGAATTGCACCCGATTTTATGACCTTTTTTGCCAGTTATTGTGAATTACATGATTGTTAAGTGAATCCAGCTTTCCCCAATGACTTGTAATTCCTGAAATGAAGGCGCTCTCGATATTGCCTGACGGCCCGCGTCCAACTTGGAGGCTGAAAGCCCCGGAGGCTGGGGATGATGGGAGATATGGTGTGCTTGTTTGTGGAATGCTGCCCAGCACTGAAAAAACCAAAGGCCCCCACTCCCCAGCTTGGAATTGAAAAAGCCCATTGCTAACCCCTTCCCCACTCGGCCAGCCATCGCTTACCTCCCGTTGCAAGCAGATCGTCCACTATGATGACTTTCTGTCCTGGCTCCACCGCGTCCTTCTGGACTTCCAGTTCGGCCTGCAGGAAGGAGGAGAACGACGGCTTTCATCCCAACCCCACAGGTTGCCCTTGGCAGGCTGTGAGCAGGTGAGCCAAGTGTCGCTAACAGAATAACATAGAGTTGGAAGGGACCTTGGAGGTCTTCTAGACCAGCCCATTGCTCAAGCAGGAAACCCCATACCATTTCAGACAAATGGTTGTCCAAACTCTTCTAAAAAACCTCGTGCTGGAACACCCGCAACTTTGCTGCTGCTTTTCACTCCCAGAAGCAACTTTGTCGGAGCTGCACAAACTTACCTTGCCATATTCCAGCGCGTAGGAGATGGATTCGGTGGGTCCCGGGAGCTTCCCTTTCTTGCGGATGAGCAGGAATCCAACCCCCAACCTCTGGGCCAAAACCGGCCCAAAGAGGAAGCCGCGGGAATCGAGGCCTGGCAGAGCAGAGCAAAAAAGGGTCACCCCAGAGGGCAAGTCCCTCAGGAGGTCTGGGGGGGAGGAGGGGGTCTTTACAAGCAGCAGGTGAGGGAACACACCTGTGCTGCTGCCTGTTCCATAGAAACTTGGCACACTGAGGAGAAAGCTAAGTTCAGACTTTCTTCGGAGCGGGCAAGGAAGTTTTGGGGGAAAACACGCACTTCTCTGTCCTTGGTGAGCTTCTCCAAGGAAGACAGAAACAGGACAATGCAGATCCATAAAAAGAGCACTATGCTAAGACACTAACCTAGTATGACTGTTTTGAGAACTAGCCGTCATCAAATTGCAAGAAGAGGGAATCGTTTGTAGGCAGAACCTCAGATGCTGGGCTCTTTCCGGAGGGGAGAAGGGGGCCTCGGTCTTTACCAAGCGTGTCCCACCCCAAAGCTCCAGAACCGAGGGTGAGATCTCTCTCTCTCTCTCTGACTCACCTGCAATGAAGTCGAACTCCTTGTGGGAGGCCCTAATATAGGATTCCAGCAGGTCGATGGCCGCTTTGAACGCCACGGGGTCCTTCAGCATGGGGCTGATGTCCCTGGGGAGGGGGAAGGAAAGGATGGGAAAAGGCGCCACAAGGCTGCAGGAATCTCCTCGGTGCACTTTTCTACAATTCAAGGGGTGGGTGGGTGGCGGGAGGGAAGGGCCTGCTTTACCTGGGGCTGCCCTGGGAGTCTGGCCAGGAGCCTGCTTTGATTCTGCTTGGCTTTCCAAGGTGATGCACAGTATCGGCGGGGAGGGGGGCAGAGCGAGCACTCGCTCAACTGGGGGAGGGGGAGAAACTGCTCGGAGACCCCCTTTCCAGGAGTTCCTTCCTCCTCCGAGTTTGGCCTTCCCGACAATGGGACGCACGTAGCCCTGGAAGGGCCAGCGGGGCCGCCAAGAGGCTTGGGCTACGGCGGTCGAGAGACTCCGTAATCCCTCCCAAGAAGCGCGCTCTTTCCTCGGGATTCTTCCTCCACCCTCCTCGCTCCTGCCCCGGGCCGGCGCGTGGGAAAGAGCCCGGCGGACGGGCCGGCTAAGCGAGGGCAGAGCCCGCAGCTGCCGCGCGGGAGGCCCGGGAGGGTCTCTCGGGGCCACGGCGGGGGAGTCCCGCTCTCGGAGCTGCAGTGAAGGCGCGATTGCCTCGCCTGATTCCCCTCCGCTTGAGCCGGCAAGGCCGGCCCGGGCAAAGGGCATTCCAGGCGCTCCAGCCGCGGCTTCGGCTCTGCCCCCGGCCCGCGGAGCCCCCGGCCCCGTACCGGAAGATGATCCCGGGCGACGGAAAGTCCGGGAAATCCCGGATCCGTTCGCGGATCAGGCGCCGCTTCTGCTCGTCCTCGGAGCTCATGGCGGAAAGGGCTGCGCCTTCCTCCGCGGGAGCAACTGGCATGCGCGGGGAGGAGCCCGGGGGAGGGCCGGCCAGGCAAGAGAGGGAGGGGCCCTCGGGCCGTGCGGCTGGGGAAGGGCTGCCGCCGCCGCCCCCCCGCAGGAGAGGATCCGCCGTTCCGGGAGCCCCCCCCCCACGCCCCCTTCCTGGCTGTGCCCAGGTGCGCGCTCGGTCCCAGGTGCCAAAGGGGGGGGCGCGCTCTCTCTCCCTCCCTCCCGCCGTTTCTCTCCCAGGCGGGCGCAGGACCGGCCGGCCAAAGGGCGCGATGTGTCCATCCCTGCCTGCGCCCGGGAATCGCCCTCCAGGAGGCTCAGCCACCCGCCAAAGAAATGCTCGGCCCGCCTTCGCTCGGAGTTCAGAGCTCAGAGGCAGCAGCTCTGCCCCGAAGGTGCTTCCCCAGAAGGTTTTTTCCCTCGAAAAGGTTCTGCTTCTCGGTCAACTCCTTCAGTTCCTGGATGAGAAGTGAAACGTTTTCAAAGGCTGAAACCAAGGAAGTCCAGTTGCCTTTTGGAAAAGCGCCCTTGCGACCACCACGGCCTGGAGGAGGATGGAGCATCTCCAGAGATGCAGCTCTGCCTTTCCTCCCATCCCGGAGGGACCCTTCAAGCACTCACGTTGAAGTCACGGCAGTTTCAAAGGCAGGGCCTTCCAGCATCCATTGCTTTATTCTGGCAAAGAACTCCAGGAAAAGACGCAACCGAACCACTCAAGTATATAAGCAGCCTTCATTTCTTACAAATGCTCAGCAGTATTAAAAATTGGCCTCAACAGATATAAAACTAATTCATTAAAAAAATAAAAATCACAGTAGCAGAAGCTGCTTCATGTAAGGATTTGGCACTTCCTGAAAAGAGGGTGGTTCCAGCCACGGAGTACCTGTGTCTTGAAAAGACTTTGGCTGATCCTGAGATGCCCCCTCAGATCCAGGAGGACGTAAATCTCTCCTCTGCAGCCAGTTCAGGGCAGGCCCTTCCTCTAAAGGAGACCCTGCAGCTTGCAAGTGCATCAAGCATTTTTTCCTTTCTGGAGAGGCTCACTTCAGGGAGAGTAAAGTCGCCCCAGTTCAAAGCAAGAGTGGTGCTTCCTTCTGAACAAGCAGCAGCAGCAGCAGCCCGAGTCACCTTCCTCAGGGTGGGTGGCAACAGTTGCCGGACAGCGGTTTGCCAAGGCCAGGCCCTCAGTGAAGCCAAAAGCATTTCTTTGGGTCGGGAGGGGGAGATTTCAAACACTTCCCCAGCTTCTCACAGCCTGGAGGAGCCCAGTTCTGGAAGAGAGAGAGAGAGAGAGAGAGAGTTTGCCCTCATCGCAAAAAGCGAGGGCTCTTGTGCCAGTGTGAAGCCAGCCCTGGATCTCTCTGCTTCCTCAAAAGTGACACCGCTGCAAAGCCAGTGTGAGGCTTGTTCCTTTGACCGAGATGCAGTGGTTCCCCTTCCCCACTCTAAGGAGCCCTTGCCTCCCCCCAGCTTCAGCTTCTGCATGGAAAATGCTCCAAGCATCTGTGCTGGCTGTGTCAGATGGATCATCCCATCTGATCGGAATAGCCACAGTGGGACTCGCCACGCCCATTCAGCACATGCCAACCAGAGAAGAGTGCCCACTGCAGACCCCCCCCCCAAGCTCCTCAGTGAGAGGCAGAACACCAACAGACCAAAACAAGGAGCTCTGCTAGCCGTTCAGAATCCAAAAATAGACTGAACAACAGCTTGACCGGGATGGTATAAGGTCTCCAGCCTTGAGCAAGGGGTTGGACTAGAAGACCTCTGAAATCCCTTCCAACCCTCTGATTCCATGTTCTATTAACATCTGCATACGGGCGTTTTGAGCTTAAAGATACACTTTTTTGTGTAATCTGTACAGCACAGGACTCGAGGCCCTTGGCCGATGCTCCGCCATTATTCTGCACAGACATGTTTGTGGAGCTTCTCCCAGGAGCCCCGGAGAAGACGGCAGCCTCAGGAGGCCAGGGGTGAGGGCAGTAAGAACTGCTTTAATGAGCAGTTTGATGGATTAGTCTGGCAACTGATGGATTAGAAGGCATTTACATAGCGACACTGAACGAGGGAACCAGCCTCGGCCCCTCTGCAGCTTGCCACCAGAATTGGCCCAAATTGTGCAGAGGAGAGGCAATGTCAGGAAGGAGAGAAGGCTCCTCCAGCTTCCAAGGAGGGAACGTTCCCTCCTGGGGGAGAGGGGGGAGAAGGGTCGGGAGAGGGAGGATAACCAGCCCCTGGAATGACGGGGGTGGGCTGTGTGTCCCATGCATGGAAGCCCTTTCTGCCACTCAGGAGGAGGAAGAGGAGGAACGGGAGGCTTCGCCCAAGCCAGCTGCCAACCTTGGGCACTAGGAGAGGGTGGCACACCCACCCAAGCAAAGTCCTTTGCTCCTTCCGTCTCTTCCTCTTCCTTCAACCAGACCCTTTGTGGAGCAGCCCCTTCCCCTTAAAACGCATCTGGATAAAGATGCCTCCTCCAGCCAGAGCCAAATCTGCCCCGGATTGTGGTGTGCAAAGCATCTGTGGATGCCGGTCAGCCCAGCCGACGTCCCCACTTCTCTGCCATCTCCCGCTTCCCTTTCTTGCCCGCTGCTAAAGGCTGCCCCACTCACTTCCATATCCTGCACAGCACTTACAGCACCTCCTCCAGCCCCTGGAGCTCTCCTTTTCTGAAGCCCACCCACCCATGGACGAATCCGGCTGTCAGTTGCTAAAGCAGTGGTTCTCAACCTTTTTAATGCCGTGACCCCAACCGGTCGTAAGTCGAGGACTAAACCGGTCGTAAGTTGAGGACTAAACCGGTCATAAGTCAAGGACTAAACCGGTTGTAAGTCGAGGACTACCCAACCGGTCGTAAATCAAGGACTTTCCCTGCCCGGGAGCGCCGTGCATGCGTGGTTCCGCCTCCTGCGCCAGCCGAGGCGTAGCTGGCAAGCGGCAGAGACGGAGCAGGCCGACCACCAGCTGGCCCAGCCCAAGGGAGGTAAGGCACCCGCCGGAAAAGGGGGGAAAAATGGCGGACAAAAAAAAATGGCGGACAGCCTTGCTTGGCGACCCCCATGAAATGGTCGATCGACCCCAAATGGGGTCCCGACCCACAGGTTG